CTAAGATGAAAAAGAGTAGGGGGGGGGGGGGGAACTCCAGAGAAATGAGGATTCCAGAGAAAAAGACAAATCATGTTACTACAAGGGAAAAAACTGGTACTCTGAATATCACAGTGATACCCTGGACCACGTCCAGTGATCAAGAAAAGAAAGGTATGAGACAGAGAAGTTAGAAGACGTCAGATTGCTTAAAACCTTGTAGTCAAAGCTACAGCTAATGTAATCAATCTTTAGAGATGACAGTGAAAGCTAGATTTTATACTATACAATTTCTAACACATATGTCATATGTCATATGCTGTATTTCAGACACATACACATGCATATACATACATTTATGACCATACAATGAATTCTCAAATTCTTTTTTTGGAAGAGTTTTTTGCTATAGGGCACGTGCACTCGCCAGAAAGAGAGAGAGAGAGAGACAGAAAGCAAGAAATCACCCCGCAGGGGGGATGTTCATGCTGCAATCCCTTCTCCATTCTCTTCTCAGGATCTTGGGAATGCATGCCCACGCACCCAGCATGAGTTTAAGCCACTGGGTCTGAGACTCGAACCGCAGTCAACTTCATGGGAGTCCAGCGACAAAGTCATTACACCAACTGCTGGTCCCAAATTCTCAAATTCTTACTAAATTGTTTTTTGAGATGGGCAACAGTGTACGAGTAAACACGTAGCTCTTATCATAGTTATCAAAGGCCTTTCACGACCTAGAAAAGTGGTCATCCTTTTGTCTCCAGTTTACAATTATCTGGAAAGCTTTAAAAATATTAGTACTTAAGTTTTTGTTAATTTGTTTCGTTTCGGATTTTTGCTACTGGGCACATGCATTCCCCAGAGAGATAAAGAGAGAGACAGCAAGAAATCACCCCACAGGGGGATGGCCATGCAACAACCCATTCTCCTCCATTCTCCTCTTGGGATCTTGGGCACACGCGCACATGCCCACTGGATCCAGGATTTGAACCGCAGTTAACCATGTGGGAGTCCAGGGATGTAATCATTATGCCATCTGATGGTCCTGGTACCTAAGTCTTAGCATACAAAAATTCTAGAGAGGCGGGTAGGTATGAATACATTTAAAAGACACACCCGGGTAATTCTAATATTTAGCCAGGAGCAAAAAAATATATATGATCTATTTGTATAGAAATTATTGTGATTGTTGTCTCTGGTAGATTAGGTTACATACCAACAAAACTTGAATTCTGACATATAATACTTCTGTTTCTACTGCTAAGTGTTGTCATTTAACCCATCTTTGTTTCTTGCCTAAAGTACTGTCTCCGCTTAACCAATTTCTCCCATGTTAACTTATTGTTTAACTTGTATTCCATACCGTTGCTTGAGTCATTTTTTTTTTTCTTCCAACAGTTTCTTAGAGTAGTTCACAGCAAAACTGAACTAGAAGTACAAGAGCTCTCATGTACCTCCTGACCCTCATACATGTGTTACCTCCTCTATTATGAATATGCTGACTACAGTACTGTATTTTTTATTATCAATTAGCATACAGTAACACATCACCATCACCCAGAGTCCACAGTTTACATAAGGGTTCACTCCTGGCATTACACATTCTAGAGGTTTTGACAAATACATAACATGTATCTAACACTGTATTATCATACAGAATTGTTTGACTAAAAATCCTCTGTGCTCCACCTGTTTATTTAACCCTTTATCCTAACCCTTGGCAAACAATAACCTTTTTCTTTTATTTTAGAGGTTTTTGCCTTAGGGCATGTGTGCTCACCTAGGAGAGAGAGAAACACTGAGAGGGAAAGTGAGAAATCACCTCTCAGGGGGATGGCCACACTGCAATCCCTTCTTCTCCATTTTCCAACTGGGATCTTGGGCATGCACACACAGGATCCCAGAGTGGTTTTCAAGCCACCAGGTTCAGGACCCAAACTTTGGTTGACCTTGTGGGAATCCAGCAACATAATCACTATGACATCTGCTGACCCATAATCTTTTATTATCGTCACAGTTTTGCATTTTCCAGAATATCATATACTTGGAATCATGAAATATGGCAACTTTTTTAGACTGGCTTGTTTCACTTAACAACGTTCATTTAAAATTACTATAAATTGAGTCAGTAGGTGGCAAGGTGGTTAAAGGCGCTGGACTCCCACATGGCCAACCGTGGTTTGAATCTCGGACTTGGTGGGTTGCTTTCTCACTCTCTCACACTCTCTCTCTCTCTCTCTCTCTCTCACACACACACACACACACACACAGTCCCTCTCTTGTCAAATTAAAATAGAAATGAATGAATGAATGAAGTTAAACAATTTTTTTTTAAATAATAAAATTCCTCCAAATTAACAATGAGACGAAATGAGGAATGCTTTTAACTAAAGTACCTTAGAAATAACTGGCCAAGTTTACATAAAAAACACATTCAGTGAGTTTAAAAAAATACATAATTATTTCCATATTTAAGTAGGAACTCTCTATCTTCTAAGGAATTTTATAAACTGAAACACTATAAAAATAACAAATGTATAGTTATTTAATGCTTAGTCTTCTTTTACATTTGAAATAACTATGATTAAATACTATATCCTACTGAAGTAATGATTTAATCTTTTAAAAAAATGTAAATTGGTATCGGTTGGTTAAAAACTTAATTTCGTGTCCATCCTGATAAACTACTCCCTCCCAGAAAACTTCAGGCATTGCAAAATAAATACTGAGCACTTATAAAAGGCAGTGTAAATGACTCGGTATGGAGAGACTGAAATGAAAGAAATAATTACTTTTAAAAGTAGCCTTACCTTTTTCTTCAGGCTTAAAAGAAAAATATTTCTTCTCTGCATTTATCAGATCGGGCTTTGGAGCTGAGCCAAAAGGAACACAAAATACTTTTATTAAAAAAAAAAAATCATTTTAGCACCAAGAAAAATTATCTGAATAAATAGTAATGATTAGTTTAAAAATAACAATAGATAAAACAACAGTTTACAAAAAGAACAATGTACCAAAATCACTAGGCTTAATTTCTAATTCTAAACCTGCTGCTTTTACCATAAGGAAAACACTCTGTTCTCAGTTCCTTCTTTGTCAAATTTAAGTGTTAGCATTCAAATCCTCTACCATACTGTAATCCAGAACTTTCTGTGATGGCAGGATATTCTATTTTTACAATGTCCAATATGTGACTATGTAACTATTATGACTGAAAAACTAAACTTTTTAGGTTATTTAATTTTACTTAATTTTAAAAGCCCACATAGCTAATGACTACCATACTGAAGGGTATGACTTCACAATAAGTCTACAACAGCAAGTTCTATACAAATTACTTAAAGTTTATGGTTTCCTTGCTCTGGGATAGCATCAGCAAATATAAAGCTGAAACCAAGGTTGTAAAGAAGGACTTGGATTACTCTAAAAAAAACCCCACATCTTTCAAGAAATAAAAATTTCTAACAATAGTAAAAATCAGATAGTTGGAGATAGAACTTATGGAAATAGATGATAAAACTTTAGCTCTGGAAGACACTTCTAGATGTACTAAATTCATAAAATTGTTCTTTAAAAAAATCTCATTTAGGGGCCAGAAGGTGGTGTGATAGTTAAGGCACTGGCCCCTCACATAGGTGACCATGGTTTGAGTCTCAGACCTGGAAGCTTAAAAATAACCCTGGGTGTGTGTGTGCTCAAAATCCCAAAAGGAAAATGGAAAAGAAGGGACTGCTGCATGGCCATCCTCCCTGGGGAAGTGTTTTCTCACTTTCCCTCTTTTTGTCTCTCTCCATCATTCACTATACTCTGTGACTGAAAAAAGAAAAAAAAAAAATGTCATTTACTCTGTTCAACATTTCTAGAGTTCCTAAGGACAAAAGTACAGACGAACAGCAAGTGGCATGGTGGGTGAGGTGCTGGACACTCCCATGTGCCAACCATGGTTTGAGTCCTAGACCCTGTGGCTTGCTTTCTCAATTTGTTTCTCTTTCTCTGGTCAAATTAAATGAATAAATAAAAACATTAAATAAATAATTCCTTAAAAAAATAAAAGAAAGGTACATAGAAATCTAATAGGTATCTGAGGGGATGGCCACTCCACAATCCCTTCTCCTCCATTCTCCTTTTAGGATTTTTGGGCACGCATGCACATGTTCCCAACATGAGTTTTAAGCCTCCAGGTTCAAGACTCAGACCACAGTCAAATATGTAGGAATCTACCAACATAACCATTATGCCATCTGCTCATCCCCCCAATAGAAACAAGCAAACAAAAAATGACGACAGATACTAATGTATGTGAATATTCTATTCTTATGTATTTCTAAAAACTTTATATACCACAGCATATTTACTTTTACTAATAAAAACTAATTTAATTTAGCTTATAGTTGGCCCAATTTTACCATTTTAGATTCTTAAAATATGAAAAACAATAAACTGAACAATGTATTTCTTACATACCTGGACCCTTAGCAGGAGGTGGAGGTTTCTTTGGTTTCTGTTGAAGCAATAGCAAATATGATTGACCAGTTAATAACACATTAAATATTTATGTTGAAATAAATTCTGATCATTAATAACCTAAATTCCTAAATTATATGAACATCTCTTCATTCCACTCTTGCCAAAATTACAAAATGCTAAGAGCTTAATGACTCCACCAAACGTCAAAAATGTATTAGAACAAAGAGCCTCCTTAACCAAATTTCAATTATTTTTAAAATTATCAGGATTTGATAAACTTAAGAAAACTTAATGAACAAAATTATTCAGTCTTGCCTCCCAAGATTAAGATTCTTAAGCATCATCTTACTCCTAACCTTGAGGGGGGAAGGGATTGGCAGCACAAGAGAGAAAGAGGGAAACATTATTTTAAAATAACCACAAGGGGGAACCAGTAGTTAGCATAATGGCTATGTCGCTGGATTCCCATGTAGTCGATGCAGTACGAGTTCCGGACCCTGTGGCTTAAACTAACGCCGGGCACATGCGCATGTGTGCCCAAGATCCTAAGAGGAGAATGGAGGAGAAGGGATTCTGGTGTGGCCATCCCCCCTGGGGGGTGATTTCTCACTTTCTGTCTCTCTGTCTCTGTCTTTCTGGTGAGCGCACGCGTCTATACCAAAAACCTCTCCAAGAAACAAAAAAACACAACAAGGGCCAGCAGGTGGTATGGTAGTTAAGGCACTGGGCTCCAACATGGAGGACCACTTTCTAATCCCTGTCTTGGCAGCCTACTTTATCACTTTCTCTCTCTCTCTGGTCAAATTTAAAAATAAAAATACAAAAAAATAAATACATAATTTTTAAAATAATAAAATAACAAAGAAGTAATTAAAATAGACATAACTGTCTCTCTTAATTCTTCAAAACTCTCAATGGAAAGGTTAAGACAAAGGTCTGCTTTTGTTCTCAATTTATAAAGATTTATTCCTTTTTTTAATCTTTTTTTTTTTTGAGAGGTTTTCGCTATAGGGTGCGTGTGCTCACCAGAAAGACAGAGACAGACAGAGAGACAGAAAGCGAGAAATCAGGCCCCCCAAGGGGGGATGGCCACAATCCCTTCTCCTCCATTCTCCTCTCGTGATCTTGGGCAGCACGCACACGTGCCCGGCGTGAGTTTAAGCCACCAGGTCTGGGACTCGAACTACGGTCGACTACATGGGAGTCAGCGATATAGCCATTACACTAACTTATAATCCCTTCATTTTTTAAAAAAGAGGATTAGCTTTAAGGCCTGTGCGCTGACTGGAGAAAGAGAGATAATGATGTTGAAAGTGAGAAATCACCCTGCCCCTGCCCTCTTGGGGAGATGGCTACATCTCAATCGCTTCTCCTCCTGGGATCTCAGGCACACAAGTGCACAAACCCAGCATGAGTTTCAAGCCACTTGGTCCAGGATTTAAATGTCGGTCCACCACGAGCGAGTCCAGCCATGTAATCTCTACATCATCTGCTGGCTTCAACATTTATTCATTTTTTAAGAGTTTAATGACTTTAAAAAAAGGTTTCTAAGTATGAGATTTTGTTTTTTCCAAATTAACTGCAACTGATAAGCAAATAATGTATAAATACACAATTAAAGCAAAAAACACCATGGTCATTAAGAGAAGTATAGAGCTAGTAGATAGCATGGAAGTTAAGGTGCTGGTCAGTTTTGTGGCTTAAGTCCCGGACCCATCAGCTTAAGAATCACGTCGGCTGGGACCAGGAGTTGGCATAATGGCTATCTCGCTGGACTCCCATGTAGTCGACCGCAGTTCGAGTCCCGGACCCGGTGGCTTAAACTCATGCAGGGCAAGTGTGCGTGCGTGCCCAAGATCCTGAGAGGAGAATGGAGGAGAAAGGATTGCAGTGTGGCCAAACCCCCCTGGGGGGTGATTTCTCACTTTCTGTCTCTCTGGCAAGCACACACGTCCTACAGAAAAAACCTCTCAAAGAAAAAAAAGAGAATCACCTCAGGTATGTGTGCACCCAAAATCCAAGAGAAGAGTGGAGAAGAGATTTCAGCACGGCATAACCCCTAAGGAGTGACTTCTCACTTTCCCTCTATTTCTTTCTCTGGAGAACACATGTGCCCTATGACAAAACTAAAAAGTATATAAAATAGCAAATTGAAAGCTGAACAATACTGAATGCAATCTAGCAGAAGAAAAGAGTCAGACTAAATCTTCATAGAGTGATCACCTATAATTTACTTAACTAAACAAAAGACCTGGAAAGTTAGACAGTTCCACATTGACTTAAACCAAGTACAGCAACCTACCTTGCTGTGTACTTCTACTATCTGTATAATTCTCTTTCATTCTACTTTTAAAATTCAGATCCCCTCTCCATTAGGAAAAAAGGAACAAAGTTATAAAAGGAAAAAGATGACTGATAAATGATTCAGCCTCACTTCATTCCCTATGAGAAGTAACACATTAAAGACTGCTTCTTGCCCTCCCAAAAATTCACTGACAGAAAAACTAAACATCAACAGTACCTTAACATGAACTAGTTTTCAACATTTAATAAAAGTATAATTTTTTCAGAAAGTATTCATTTATTCAGTTAGTATAATTTTTTTTCTTAAATTATAAGTAAAGAAGTATAAGGTGGGCCAGGAGGTGACAAAGAGGTTATGGCAACTGGATCCTACTTGGCCACCTGAGTGGTTCGTCTCAGACCCAGCTGCTTGAAAATCAACCTGTGTGGGTGTGAACGCGTGCCCCAAATCCCAAGAGAATGGAGGAGAAAGCATTGTACCATGGCCATCTTTGCTGAAGGATTATTTCTCAACCTTCCCTCTATTTCTCTCTGTCTCTCTGAGCTGAGCACATACGCCCTATAGCAAACTAAAACAAACAAACAAAAAAAAGAAGTGTATGGTTATTTTCAGTGTAGTTGATGGGGAAGCAGGAATAAAGCTTAGAATTAAAAGCTGCTTTGTTTTGCTATATGAAATTCCAGAATAAAAATTATTCAATAACAATGCAAAAAAGCCTGTTTCTGCTTCTATTTTGTTTTGTTTTTGATTTTTAGGATTTTGCCATAGGGCACATGTGCTTGCCAGAAAAGGACAGAGAGACAGATGGTGAGAAGAAGAGTGAGAAATCATCCCTCAAGGGGGTGGTCATGCTACAAACCCTTCTCATTCTCCTGGGACTTGGGACATGCATGCACATGCAACCACAGCACGAATTTCACGCTACCAAGTCCGGGACTCAAACCGCAGTCAGCCATGTGTGAATCCAGCACCTTAATTACCACACCATCTGCTGGCAAAAAATCTGTCTCTGAAATAACATTAGTAAAATATTCTTTAAAGTATTATCATCATTCAAAAGCAAAAGCTTACTGGAAAGTCTTTATCCATTTCATTGATCTGAACAGCAAAATTGTCTGGAAATACTCCTTCTTTACCATTAAGTTCGCCCTTCCACCAGCCAGGTTCTCCAGTCTCCTAAAAAGTAAAAATAATAATAATAATAATTAAGATATTCAGTTTCTGTTAAATGAGGAAGACATTTACAACACCATAGGAAAATACTAAACTACGTTATGTTTGGTAAGAAAAGAATGACCCAAATAAATCATAAGGTACTAGTAAAAGAAAATATTCCCCAACATGTTACTTGTAGTATTGTACTTGTAAAATTGGGTTTTGTTTTTACTAAATAAGTCAATGTTAATATTTTGTCAACCAAGTTAAAAGGTTCCCAAAAGAGAACTATAAAAGGAAAGGAAATGAGAAAGGACAAAATGAAGGGACTGTGAATTTCCAAACTATACCTTTCTTTCTGCTTTTTAAAATCTATTTCATTCTTTCAGCAGACAGAGAGAGAGAGAGCAATGTACCCTCAACAGGGTCTTATGCTGCATCACTACTCCCAATCTTAGCCCATCAGGACCACAGGTGCATGTGTCCCCTGCATATACAAGTCAACCAGGGAACCCACGTCCGGTCACCCATATGGTTCCAGAACTGCGGAGCTGCACACTGCTGTGGTGCCGTCTCTCTCTTAACATTCCTAACACCATCCATACAAAAAAATTAATCACTGTACTAACCTACTTTTAGAAACTAACATTGTCTAAGTTACTTCCAAATATCCACTTCTTGTATGAAAACCTAAGGTTCCATTAGTCTGAACTATAAATATTAAAAATTACATTTATGTGATTCACGCTATGTAAGTATTAGGTACTCATGGCACAAAAACAAAATGGGTAGCTACGTATGATGACTGATATTTTCATACTCAATTTACCTTTATACTATCTGTTTCCCATAATTTCATATTATATGCTTTAAATATACACAGTAAAACTAATTTTTAAAAAAATCACATACCTTAAGGCATTTGACAGAAAAATCAATTTAGTACAATGGGAGAAATTTCAAAACTCATTCTGCAGTGTTATAATGAAAATAAAATATTTATAATTTTCCTATATTACAAATAGTTATAATGGGATTCTGTTTACATTCTAACACTACTGGGTTTTTTCTTTATTTTGTCTTAGATTTAAATTTTTAACTTTTCAAATTATAATATCTACTTAATTCTTTGAAATTAACTACATCATTTTCTAGAATATAAACAGTTTAATAACCATTTATACATTAATAGACATTCAGTTTGTTTTCCTCTGTCTTCCTTCTCTTTTTATATTACAATGTGACAAATAAATAGCAAATAGAAGAAAAAAATGAAACGAGGTGGAATCGATGGATAGAAACCCAGGAAGTTGGAGTTAATGCAAAAAACAAAAATATGGTGTTTAAAAAACAATTTCTAATATATTAATTATAATAATTAGGCAATAAAAATTAGATCAGAAACAGAACTTTCTGGGCATTTGTTATGGACCAGATTCTCATGATCCAAAACTAAACAGATCAAGTTCCAGGTCTTCTAGAACTTATACCCTGAAAGGAATCTAATAATTTTTAAAAATATTTCCATGAATAAATCAAACAAGTCCCTGAAAACCTAAGAAATACCTTACCTTGCTTATCAAGTGGATTATCTCTCCCTCTTGAAAAGTAAGTTCATCTTCATTAGTACCTTCATAGGCAAATAATGTTCTACAATATTCCCTAGCTGAAATAAGAATGCATATAATGTAGCTTATACAAATCGAGTCACCAACAATAACTAAGTTTCTTTACCATGTAAATTAACATATACTAAAAGCTATTAAAGATGAACTTAGGACCAGCAGATGGCATAACGGTTAAGTTACTAGGCTCCTACGTAGTCGACAACTGTTCAAATCCCAGGCCTGGTGCCTTAAACTCATGCCAGGCGCATGTTTAGGTGCCCAAGATTCTGAGAGGAAAATGGAAGAGAAGGGATTGTGTCATAGCCATTCCCCCTTAGCGAGTGATTTATTGCTTTCTTTCTCTGTGTTTCCAGAGAGCACACATTACCCTATACCAAAAATCACTCTTAAAAAAAAAAAACAAAAAACAAACATGAATGGGCCAGCAAGTGGCTTGGTGGTTAAGGGTGCTGGACTCCCACATGGCTGACCACCGTTTGAGTCCCAGACCTGGCAGATTGCTTTCTCACTCTCCTTCCCCCAAGTGTCTGTCTCTCTCTCGTGAAATATATATATAAATATAAATATATACACACACACACATATATACACACACGCACATACATATATATATTTATATATATAAATAAAATAATTCTTTAAAAAAAATACATGAACTTAATTAGTAACAATTCATCTTTAAATTTTTAAATTTAAAACTTATAGCCAATACTACAAGTTAAATAACAATTTTATTCATCATCTACTCAATTATTTACTAAGTGCCTACTATGTTCAAGGCACAGTGCTCACTGCAGGGCAATACGTCAATGAGCAAAGCATACCAAAACCCTTAACTTCACAGTACTTATATATGGTAGAATTTAATATTCTGATCAAGAAGTGTAACAAATACTTGCAACAGGTTAATAAAATATGTGAATATGTTCCTAGTATTCCTTATGTAAAATTCTGACTTTAAAACTTACATTTAGTTTTACCTTCAGTGTCTGTTTTGGTTATTTCCACACTCTGAGTTCTGGATCCTAGTGATTGCGTGATTAAGGGCTAGAATATAAAAGAATACTATCAACTATTTCAAGTTAGAATAAAAATAATATTGTTAAACCAAGTCCCTATTTAGGTATTCAGCTTTCTCCAACAGTGCGTATAGCCAGGTGAGTAATATGACTAAAAACTCAGCAATAAAAAGGGTAAATATCTAAAAGTTCCTTAAATGGTAGCTCAGAACCATTCATTGAAATTCCTTATCTTTGGGATAATAAGCATATTTATCTAATACCCAAAATACATTACCATGAACTAATTTTAGACTTGCTAAAATAAAAAAGAACAGCATTTGAAAATTAATACCAATTCCTGAGCTTAAGCACTTTACATACATTATAACTTATTCCTCATAATTCCCTGTACAAAGTAGGCACTACTAAAAAAAAAAAAAAAAGGATATTTGATGGCTGCAGTGAGCGGTATGGGCCCAGCTGGGTTCTACTTTATAGTATGCTCTTTTTACTCACTGGGGTTTAGGCCTAAAGTCAGACTTGAGTTCATGTATAGGTATGTGTCAGCTGCGATAACTATTGGATATATTTAGACTAATTAAGTTCACTGACAGATCATTTGGGGAGGGGGGAGGCACGGAGGGCAATCATGGATGCCAGGGACAATGTGGGAGGAGGATGGGTCATAACAGAGGGAGAGGGATGGGGAATCTAGGATGGCAAAACAAAAGGCAAGGTATGCAGGACACAAGAATTGGGAAATTATTTGCTGAGAACATATATGTTGACGTGCTTGATTGAGCCAATGCACAGTGTATTTTGGATGGAAAATTCATTTGTGTGTTGTGATGGGAAAAAAAACTAAAAATTAATAAACTATAAAAAAAAAGAGAGAGAAGAGGATAGAGAAAGATAGCAAGTGAACAATAGAGAGGATGTTAGTGAGAAACAGATATGGTTTATTATCTGTTGATGATGACATGTATAGTATTCTCAACTGGACTGGTCTGGGAAGTATTTCATGATGGGTGAAGTCTGTTTTTAAAAAAATTATAGTAATAATAATTATTGGGAAATGCATGGAAAAGACATTGAATGATAAAGCGGGGAGATTGATGTCTCTGTATTGACCGACATGCATGGCATTCCCTTTTGAAAAAGCAATGGAAGTCAATGTAAAGTTATATGTAATCCAATGTAATATAAAGAAGATTATGATGGTAATATAAATTAAAAAAAATTAATTAAATGACTACAGTAGGTAGAATGAGGATAATAAAAGCCAATCACTAATAGCATTTTTTCAAAAAAAAAACAAAGTAGGCACTACTGTTCACTTTTTTCAAATATTAGACAGCAATTGAGAAATCTCCCCAAAAGAACAGAAATTTACTAATGATTTGAGCCTAGAAACTCAACTCTAAGAGGCAGGAGCTCAAATAGCAGTGCTATTCTTAGCCTTAAAATGACAGAGAAGGAGAGAAAATTCTCTACACTTCATTGCTATCTGAATGAAAACATTTGGGTGATATTACAACCCTTTTTAACTATACTATACTAGACATTTTTACATTACAATTGACTATACCAAGTCCTCCACCACCTTATCGTAGAATTTGAGTCTTCCCTGAAATTAACAGTGTATTCATTTGACCACAGATTTCTTAAGTCTGAACAGACTGCCAAATTATCTACCACTGTATTTTCTATTTATCTCCTAAAATACTCACTTTAAACGCTCCCAATTCTAACCAGTATACATCTTCCAATACGGTATTACCAACAAATACAACAAACGTGCGCCCATCGATTCCTGGATTAGTGATCAAAACAAGACTCATGAGGCCAAGAGTGGCCATAAGGCTACTTTCACCAATAACAACTCTGAATAGTAGACATTATTAATGCTGATTGGAAGATTACTAATATTCTGTAATAATTAAGGAAATAAAGTTATTCAATATAATCATAAGCTATGAAGATGGAAGGAGCCATAGATTATCTAGTTCAATGCCCTTCCATAATGCAAAAACTACTTTTCCAATATTTCTAGCTGTTACATGGTTCTAGAGAACCATTTCAAAAATCATGAGAATTTTGGGAACCAGCAGTTAGCGTAATGGCTATGTCGCTGGACTCCCACGTAGTCGACCGCGGTTCGTGTCCCGGACCCGGTGGCTTAAAACTCACGCCGGGCGCGTGTGCGTGCGTGCCCAAGATCCCGAGAGGAGAATGGAGGAGAAGGGATTGCGGCGTGACCATCCCCCCTGGGGGGTGATTTCTCGCTTTCTGTCTCTATGTCTCTCTCTGTCTGTCTGGCGAGCGCACGCGCCCTACAGTGAAAATCTCTCAAAAAAAAAAAGAGAAAAATCATGAGAATTTTAATGCTTACCTTAAAAAAAAAAAAAACCAATTAGAGAGGCCAGCAGGTGGTGTGAAAGTTAAGGCGCTAGACTCCCACATGGCCAATCACAGTTCAAGTCCTGGATGTGGCAGCTTGCTTTCTCACTTTCTCTCTCTCTCTCTCCTCTCTGGTGAATTAAACAATAATAATAATAATAATAATGATAATAAATGAATAATTCGTTAAAAATAAAATCAATTAGACCACATAATCTTAATGCTAAACAGTGTCAGAGGTAGGAGAGGACAGAAAGTGGAAGTTTTCTTTCCTAAATTCAACTCCACTATTACATGAGAAAATACATAGCAAACTCGGAAAGAAAACAAAAATGTTGAAATCACCTTAGGTGAAAATCTCAGAATTTATTTCACTAACCAAAGGAGAGTTTAATCAGTAAAATGCAGCTAAACTAAGCAAATAAATACTGAATATTTAAAGCCATTAACAATTACATAAATAAATACAAATGAGAACTACAGAGAAAACACCATAAAATAATTAAGAGAAGGGGCCAACATCTGGTATAGTGGTTAAGGCACTGGACTCCCACATGGCCAGTGACAGTTCAAGTCTAAGACTGGGTGGCTTAAGAAAATCACAGTGGGCAAGTGTGCTTGAGTGCCCAAAATCTCATGAGGAGAACGGGAGGACAAGGAATTATGGTGTGACCATTCCCCCTGAGGGTATGATTTTGCTTTCCCTCTCACTGTCTCTTTCTCTCTGGCAAATATAAGCACCCTATGGCAAAAAACCTTACACACACATGCGCGCGCATGTGCACACAGGAACTATGTCATATCTTAGTAACATATTCAATCTGCATCTAAAACTGATACCAGGAACAAAAACTTTGAAATAAACATTCTAAAGACCTTACCTATTTTTACCTCAAAATAAAAACATAAAACCTATGATTTAAAGCCTTTTATTAGATCTTATAATTTATGGTTCATTCACTTCGTTTCATTTCACAATACCAATAAAATGCTAATGAAAAATAAAATTTTGCATTTATTCAAAGAGGGAGATTAGTAAATTTAACCCCTATTGACAATCCAAAGTAAAGTTAAATAGTACCTACTTAATATGTCATTGTGAATTCATTTAAAATTGGCCCATTTTAGATCTATTTCAAGTTAAAAGAAAAGTAATGAAATTTCAGCTTTAAAATGAAAACAGGAAAAACAATCTTTCCATTTTTTATTATTTACACTTTAAAAAGTAAATAACCTCAAAATTCCACTAGGAAAAGTTTGTTTAAATCTACCAAGAAATAAGCATCCTTATTTTACAAGATTCAAACATAAACATTAACGAAATCACTATAAAAATAGAAGTAAATCATTTTCCACAGTCTTTTCATTCATAATCTAATTTACTGGTAATCTCAAAAAAGAAAATATAACAGAGTTGCAAACAGACTATTGTATTTTAAAAATGAGAGAATTAGTGGAAGTAACCTAAGTTAAATTCATTATTACCACCTTTTCTGTTTTTTTCTCTTCTGTTTCACCACTGGATGTTCTTGTCCTAAGTTTCACAGAGCCTTCTTTAAAAATATCTCCAAATCCAATTCCTCGTATTTTCTTTGGCTGTGTAACTGATCCAGGTGCAATTTCATTTCCATTTCCCCCCGGAGAGGGTAAAGGTGAGGTAGGTCCAGTCAAAACAGTTTCTGAAAGAATAATTTGTTTTGATGAATGACATCTAGAATCATGGAAATTCTCATTTCCCCTTCAATAATGTTTACATTGTACACTTCCTAATTTAAAAAAAAAAATTAAATAAAAACAAATTAAATGGTTGTGTACTAAAATACCAAAAAAATTAAGATGAACTTCATTCACACTGAATTTTTCTTGTATAAAGTAATAACAGTTTTAGGTAAATTTAATTGGTAAGATAAGTAAGAAATATAGAAAATCTTATCGTACAAGAGCATGTCAAGTTTACAGCTTTCAACCAAAGAGATAATGTAGTACCATTCTTTTAAAAGTTATATAATTTAATCAGATAAAAGTTGGGATAAGCCAAAGACCTCCCTGAGTATGTTCAGCACATGTGTGCCCATGATCCCAGGGTACAGGAAATTAAATTATGGCAGGAGGACCACCTGGTGGTTCTTGTTCATCACGTTCTCACTCTCTCAGTAATGAAAAAACGTCAACAAAGTTTGAATCAAGAGGAGAGTGAGTTTCTGAATGTAAAAACAAAGAACATTTTAAAGTAGAATTTTTTAAATTCAACAAGTCAAAACCTGTCACTTTAACCTGGAAATAAAGTCTAATTTTAAAACTGTGAATGAAAATTTAAATACTAATTTAATGAAAGTTTGGAACCAGAGATGGCTCGTTACGTTGCTGGACTCCCACATAGTCAATCCCAGTTCCAGTCTGGAACCAGGTGCCTTAAAACTGACACCAAATGCATGTGCCTGTGTACCCAAAATCCTGAGAGAAGAATGGAGAAGATAGGATTACAGCAGGGCCTTCTCCCCTAGGTGGAGATTTTTTGCTCTGTGTCTGGCAAGTGCATGCACCTTATAGCAAAAATCTCTCTCTGAAAAAAAAAGTGTGATATTATAAAGGTAAGAAATTTTTTTACATTTAACAACAGTTCTTATTTATAGGCTCAGTGAGTTCATGAACAATTCCAAGGATAATTATGTATTTTTTCAGTACATTTCTCTATGTAAAAGAGGTATAGCTTTTATCAGATTGTCAAAAAGTCTTACAATCTAATAAACAAAATTTTAGAGTCAGTCATCTAATGATAATCCCAGAAATATTTCATATTGGGGGTAATGGATGGAGAAAAATATGGGATGTGAGTTCACTGAACTATGACAGTCTGTTCAAAAATGGCAATAATAACAGTGGTAATAAAAAATAGTAGTTACCATACCCATTCAAGGTTTATTCTATGCCAGGCACTTCACTAAACACTATACATGAATTATCCCACCTAATTTTCATACCCCATGGGTCTACTATCATTAAGCATTGTGACTCATTATTTTACATATTAAATAAACTGGGGCAAAGAGAGAGATGGTAACAAGAACTTCCCAAAGTCTCAAAGTAAATTATAAAAAGACTTTGAATGTTCCTAATAAAAGTAATGATACATGGTTGAGATTAATAATCTGATTACCCAGATTCAATCATTATTCAATCATTACACATGACATTCTTATATGGAAAGATCACATTATACCCTCAAATATGCACAATTTGTTTACTTAATTTTTTTAAAAGAACTTTTCCAAAGGATCTACTGATCATAACAAAGCCAATATTTAAACCAAATCTAGATGACCCCCCAAATCACCATCTTAAGTGATTTCTCTCTCCACCTAGAAGTACACACACCCTTATAAGGAAACTAAAAAAAGAAACAGGAAGGAATGCACGGATTTTGTGGGAAATGCCAGCATAGCCACATATCACTACTTATAACTCTCAAAGGCCTAAAAATGCATACAAGACATTTGTGTAGCCATGACTAAAAGAAAACAAGACAGCAGGCAAATATACCGTCTACCACATCCCCGGAAGTTGAATACTAATGTTAAAAAAAAAAGGAAACAAAAAAATAACTCAGAGGAATCAGAAAAATAGAATTCTAATTATGACTTAACCATTCAGTGGTAATAAAAATAAAACTTCAGGAGTTCCCATTTCTTTCTCTTTGAATATAGGAGTGATATTAAGCCCTTCAAAAGTTAAGAGGATTTCACCTCACAAAAACTATGAAAAGTTCTATATACTACAAAATACTATTCATTTATTCATTCAGCATCACTGTGTCAGACATTGAAAACTGGCATGTGAACAAAAAAGTATATATTCTAATGAAGGGGTATACAGACAATAAGCAAACAAATAAGGAATCATAACATGCATCAGAGTGATCAGAGAAAATAAGAGAATTTATAGTGGGAGATGGGGGGTGCTTCATTGCTTTGTACAGAACTGTCAGAAGCAGCCTCCCTAATATAGTGATTTCCAAGAGAATCCTGAATTAGACAAAAAGCTATCAGGGTATTTCAAAGGAGAGTGTTCTCTGCAAAGGTATATAGCAAGAACAAAGGCTGTAAGATGGAAACGTTCTTGACATTTTTAAGAAACAGTAAGGAAACCAATGTGAACAAAGAGAGTTAAGTGAGAGGTGTGGTAGGCGTGGCATGGAAATGCCAGATCACAAAAGAATTTATAGCCTTTTTAATAGACTGGCTTTTTACACTAAGTGAACTGGGTAGCTACCAGAGAATGTTAATTTCTGGCTACTATGTAGTATATTCAGTAGAGAGGTAACAGCAAATAGGCTACAGCAATTAAGTACCAAAACTATTAATTCATGTGGGAAAATCACTTTTATACATTGTTTTAGTAGGTGACAATGTGTTAATGAATCAACTGTAGGGTATGCAATTAAAAAGAAGGGCTGTCTCCATGGCCTGGTGGGAAAGACAGCCGGATCCCATGCAGCTAACTGTGCTATATTCCAAGTACCAAAACTGGCAGCTTCAGGTATATATCGAGTTGTGTACATGTGTGCCCAAAATCCCAAAAGGAGGCAGAAATGGTAGAGAAGGGATTTGTGGCGTGACCTCTCCCCATTGAGGATGCTTTCTTTTCTTCATCTCTGTTTCTCTCTGGCAAGTACACACACCCTCTAGCACAAAAGTAAAGAAAAAAGAAAAGTAAGCAATAAATCCAAGCATTCTGGCCTAAGTAAAGGAGGACAGAGTTGTCATTAAATCAAATGGCAAAACCCATGCAGAGAAGATCAAGGTGCAGAAAAAAAGGACAGCAGGTCAGTTTTGACTATTAAGTTTAAGATACTCTCAGACATCTAAATAGGCTTAGGGACTATACGTAGGGAAGGACTATGAAAGGGAAGAAAATAACTGTAGATACAGTCGCTGGCTTTACAGAATAAAGGGACAAAAAATTGAAAGCAAGTTCCTATTTAAGAACTAAGTAGACCAGGACTCCAAGATGGCATCAGTTGTACCAGTGAAGAAAAAGAAACTCATGGATGTCAAACGTGGGGAGCTGCCAAGCTGGACACTGAAACGGTATTTTACCCCTAAAGGCATTGCTGGAGCATTTCAGAGAGGTTTCTACCAGTATTACAACAAGTACATCAACGTGAAGAAAGGGAGTGTTGCTGGTGTTTCTATGGTGCTGGCCGCTTATGTGCTCTTCAGCTACTGCCTTTCTTATAAGGAACTCAAACACGAGCGGCAACGCAAATACCACTGAAGAGGGCCAGCGTGGAGGTCATACACTGACCCAAACCTTCATCTCCTTGGCTTAGCACCCCTCCAAAGGAACTGGTTGAGTCCTTTCATAGCCCAGTTGAGAATTCACATCCAATAAAAGATGACTGGTATGTGAAAAAAAAAAAAAAAGAACTAAGTAAACTCTAAATGCTGACAAAAACAATACTTTAAATAAGAAAGGTTGGGGCCAGCAGGTTGTGTGGTGATTAGGGGTGCTGGACTCCCACATGGCCAACTGTGGTTTGAGTGCTGGATCCCGGCAGCTTGCTTTCTCCCTTTCCCTCTCTCTCACTCTGTCCCCTAAAGTTAAAGGAAAAAGAAAAAGAAGGAAAGGTTAAGTACATATGATGAAATGTAAAAAGAGACACTTTCATTATAAAAACTGAAACTGAACAACTTCTCTACAAAAAGCAAAACTTTTCCTAAGATTGAGTACTAAAGAAATGCATCTTAGAATTTTATATAAAAACCACTGAGAGGACCAGAAGGTGGCAAGATGGTTAATGTGCTGGACACTCCCACATGGCCAACCACGGTTTGAATCCCAGACCTGGTGGTTTGCTTTCTCACTTTCTCTCTCTTTCTCTCTCTCTCTCTGTCTTGCTCTGGTCACATTAAAATAAAATAAATGAATGAATAAAATAAAAAACTCTTAAAAAATAACTGTTAAAAAAAAAAGAAATCACTGAAAGCACAAAGTATGAAATCACCACATTCTTACAGAAAACATAACAATGGCTTTCTTAAAACTTACATCTTAGTTTTTCCATGAAAACTGAATACATTACTGTAAATTACCCGTACAGACACAGGCAACACTGTTCACCTATTATCTGGAATTTGAACTACTTTCTCAGCAGTAGCTGCTATAGTTTAACTAGTCAAACTAAGAACATCTCCCATTGATTTCAAAGGGGGTTGAAAAGGAAAAGAAATGGAAAGAGGGGGAAAAAAGACTCCTACTTAATTTAAAGGCACATGAGGAGAAACTATATAAAATAATCAAGATGGTGAACTTTCTAACACTATTGGCTAAAAAACATTTTATAATGTATAGTCTATAATAATTTTTTAACAGCTATTAGAAACACAATTATCTACTGGCTGAAAAGACTGTCTAAACACCAATTATGAACAGACCGTTATCCTTCCTTAGGGAAAAAAAAACAGCAGGTATCAATTCTTTAAGTCATAATGCTTAAGATCAAAATCTTAAAAAGAAGTATGTACTTTGGGAACCAGCAGTTAGCGTAATGGCTATGTCGCTGGACTCCCACGTAGTCGACCGCGGTTCGTGTCCCGGACCCGGTGGCTTAAAACTCACGCTGGGCGCGTGTGCGTGTGTGCCCAAGATCCCGAGAGGAGAATGGAGGAGAAGGGATTGCGGCGTGACCATCCCCCCTGGGGGGTGATTTCTCGCTTTCTGTCTCTATGTCTCTCTCTGTCTGTCTGTCTGGCGAGCACACGCGCCCTACAGTGAAAAATCTCTCCAAAAAAAAAAAAGAAGTATGTACTTTTACTGCTAAAATTCTAAGTAGTCATTCATAAAACATTCATTTTCTAGCATTCACATCAATATGCAGAAACTTTCTGACTAAAAATTAGTTAGCAAAAGAGGGGAAAAAAGAAGAATTACAGTGTACTTCAATCACTGACTTCCTAACCTGCAATCACAAAGCTCCACATTTAGAATACGCTGTTATAAGGGGGTTAGGCAAAGAAGGAAGTGCATTTCCTAAAGATACAATTCTGCAAAGTTACTGAAATTCAAAAAGGGATGAACAGTGCAAGAGAATCTTCAAATTATTTATAGTTATGAAAGCAATAAACTACACATAAATTTAAATGAAATGTCTTTTGAGCTGGTGGCCCCAAAGGAATTTCTTTCTTTTTAGGTTTTTGCCATGAGGTGTGTGCACTTGTCAGACAGAGACAGAGAGGAAAGTGAAAACTGACACGCTAGGGGAGATGGCCTCACTGCAACCACCTTTCCACTCTCCTCCAGCATGCATGTACCTACACCCAGAATGACTTTCAAGTCTCTGGGTCCAGGACTCAAATCATGATCAGCCACGTGGGAATCTAGAACCTTAACCAATATGCCACCAGCTGGCCCCTGTCCAACAGGGATTTTAAGGGCTCGGTTTACATGGTATCACAAAGATTGTTTTACGATTGGCTTTTATTTTTTTTTTAAGAGGTTTTTCCTGACAGAGAGACAGGAAGTGAGAAACCATCCCCCAGGGAAGGTGGCCAGGCTGCAATCTCTTCTCCTCCATTCTCCCCTCAGGATTTTGAGATTGCACACACATGCACCTGGTGTGAGTTTAAGCCACCAGGTCAGGGATTTGAGCCACAGTCAACTATGTGAGAGTCCAGTAATGTAACCACTATGCCATCCACTGGTCCCATAATTAGCTTTAATTAATAACAAATTTCACTGTTAATTCTTAGGTTACTCTGCTATAAAATGAAGAGATGTATTAGAACTTTCTGGTTCTTAATCTAGATGTTTGAGTGATTGTTCTATCATGTCCTAGTCTACCATCTTAAAATCCTGGCTTTTCTCTAGGCTTAATACTTTCTTAAGAAGTGGCAGGTAGAGAAAGTGCAGATGTTGGCACACCACAAAGCAAATGGTCCCACATAGTAGGGTCTTGGGTTCATGTTCAGGCATCCCTCTGAACACTGTGATTAGGTACCCGTGATCCAGTAAAGCCGAGACTAAGGAACGATTAGAGCACAACGTCTCGATTGTGGAAGCCCTTCCTCCCCTCACTCACATAAACGTTAAAAAATAAATAGGAAGAAAAAAATGCACAAATGATTGATGTGCAAAAAAATCATAATTATGGGCAAGGCCAAAATCTTCAAGAAACTTTGTTAATCAATTCTAAAATGGTAGAATCAAAACCAGCACATCAACTTTAAGAAAAATCTCAACAATGATTTATAGATCCCTTTAACTAATTATGTTTAATACTATCATATATTGCATTCAGAATTCTATAATTTTTCTTCTAAATTCATTCCCTTACAATTAAGTACAACAAAGTTTAAAACCCATTTGCTACACCTAACAGCTATACAATGTCTTCCTATTTTTTTTAAAGAACTATTTTATTTAACTTTATTTTTTCATTTATTTTAATTCTACCAGAGAGAGAGAGAAAGTAAGAAAGCAAGTCGCTAGGTACAGGACTTGAACCATGGATGGCCATGTGGGAGTCCAGCACCCTTATCCCCCATGCCACCTGCCAGCCCAACCAATGTCTTCCTATTTAATTTCAAAATATTTTCCCATCCATGTATAAAACACTGAATGTACCCGCAAAAGAAATGAAGAGCATAAACAGCTCAGACCAGTCTACAACAATATGATGTAACTATGCTAAGAAGTTACTCTGTCAACCTACATGACAACCCCTAGGTAAAAATTATTATTCCTGTTCTACAAACAATACTTTAGAAAAAGATAAGCAAGACATAGTACTGCTATCATGGAACCCTAACATCTTAGTAATAATATATATCTAAAGACATATTTAAAATACAGCTGTTCCACTGGGATATAATGGAAAATGTGAAGTAGCAATCTGAGACATCTTACAACTTCACCTTGTCATTCTGAAAGATACATAGTGATTAAGGCGCTGCACTCCCACATGGCCAGCTGTGATTAGAGTACTGGACCTGGTGGCTTACTTTTTCACTTTCCCTCTCTTTTTCTCTGTGTGTCTCTGATCAAAATGGAAATAATAAATATAGGTAAATAATTCTTTTTTAAAAAGATATATAGTTTTTCTATCTTGGCACTACACTGACTTGGGGGGAGAGGGGACTCAGTGACACTAGTGACATTAATATTGTAGTCTAGGGTCCAGGAGGTGGTGTGGTGGTTAAGGTGCTGGATTCCCATATGGTTGACCATGGTTTAGGGTCCAGACATGATGTCTTGCCTTCCCCCACTTTGCCCATCTCTGGTGAACATGTGTGTTGAATAACAAATTTAAAAAATAATAATAAAGTGCCAGCAGGTGGCTTGGTGATTAAAGTACTGGACTCCCACATGGCCAACGGCAGTTCGAGTCCCAGGCCTGGCGGGTTGCTTTCTCACTTTCAGTCACTCTCTCCCTCTGGTAATCATACGTGCACTATAACAAATTAAAAAAATAATTTTAAAAAATTAAATTAATGGAGACCAGCAGTTAGCGTAATAGCTCTGTTGCTGGACTCCCATGTAGTCGACCGCGGTTCAAGTCCCGGACCCGGTGGCTTAAACTCACGCTGGGCACATGTGCGTGCGTGCCCAAGATCCCGAGACTGGAGGAGAAGGGACTGCAGCATGGCCATCCCCCATGGGGGGTGATTTCTCACTTTCTGTCTCTCTGTCTCTGTCTTTCCAGCGAGCGCACGCGTCCTATAGCCAAAACCTCTCAAAAAAAAAACTGTTATATAAAAAATGCATATTGCAATCTACCATTAAATATTTAAAAACCCATGTCAGAAATCTGGCATATTAGTAGTGTGCTGCTCAAAAGAAGCTGGGAAGCCACATGGCAACCATGGTTTTAATACCCAGCCTAAAACACACCAAATACGTGCACAAGTGTCAAGGATCAAAAGAGCTGGAAGGCTAGATGACGGGCATCACGGCATGACAGATCTTACGGAGATTACTCATCTCTCTCTTTTACATGTGTGTGCATTCTAACATGAATAAAGTGAAATTTGAAATCTAATCATAAAATTACCAAATAATACTAGCTAATGCAAGCACAAATCCCCCAAAATCATATATATA